ATCTGATCTCAGTAGAATGGGCAGATTATTCTCTCTCATTTGTTAGGAGGACACGCCCGAGGGACGTGCCCAGGAAGTGCACGTACCGGAGGTATGAGGCTGCGTGAATGCAGCCAAGTTTCAACGGGGGCTTCAGGCAGCAACAGACGAGGCTGAGGTCTGCTACTCCTGCGTATGTGCGCTGCTGGATTCACAGGTATCTTGTGGATCTGGACAGTGAAAATGCGGTCCAAACCATAATGTAAGAGGCAAAGAAGAGCAGAGCCAGCTGGTACCTTACAGCCTTTAGAAAGGGAGAAGGTGGACCAAAGGACAAAACTGGGGTGTGAGCTCTTCTTTCTGCTTTTTCTCTTTCTCCTTTTCTTTAGTTTTTTGTGGGTTTTTAAAAGAATCTTTTAAAAGATACATTCTGCGTGTCATTTGTTCCTGGTAAACACACACGCACAGAGAGAGAAGAGAAGTGTGGGTTGACAACAGAGCGACTGATGGAAGGCCACACGTGGGCTGGCCAATACAATTTTTACTGGCAAAAAGAGTCTGTGGGCTAAATTACTTCTGAAGACTATTTATAAAACTATTTCCTATTTGGTACCTTTGTTTTCTGTGTGGAAATTTTACGAATTTCAGTTAGTTACCTAAATAAACATCTGTCAGAAACCCCAAGACAAGACCATTAATCTCATCTGCCGACAATGAAGCTAAGTCAGGACTTGAAATCTCGTTCCTCGAGGCCACGATCAGGTGAATACACCAGTCGGCTACACTAGCTCACCCAATCTAAACAGCATGACTAAAGATAGGTGCTCAATATTTATGCCTCAAGTTCTTGATCTGCCATACTTTGTTCAGGGCATCAGATTCTGCACAAAATCTGAACTGAACTCAAGGAATACAGTACCAGTCTTGCCTGACAATCCAGAATTTCTCTCAAGCAAACAGATGGAAATGTTAGCAACCAAATGTTGCCTTTTCAGGTTACAGGAAGAAGTCATAGCAAGGGAACTAGTTCTTTGCTGCTTTAATCCTGTTCAGTCTGTTTACTAAGAGGAGAATTTGCTGAAGAAGAGCTTAAAATATTGCAAACCTACCAAGCACAGACTTCCTCAGTATTGGGTTGGCATTCACTAAAATTTACAATAATGTCAAAGTAAGATTTTGCAGTAATATTTCTTTTTCTCTAGCCAAGTTTTAATAGAAAATATTGAGGAAAACTCAGCATTCATCCAATGCATCTGCATGCTTTTGACTAGTTAACATGTTAATCAATAAAAGGATTGTGCTGTCCAACTATTAGACAGGTTATTTGGAAAAGAAAAAATATTTGTCTATGAATTTGTGGATGAAGTGTTTCCAAGAAGAAATTATAAATGGGCCTTTATTTTAGTTCTCTCCGGTTGTGAATGACAGCTTTAACATTCTTAGAAACCTTAAGACTATAATGACTACATCTTTAAAAGCCTCTAGGGATCCTTGTACATAAATGTATCAGTCAGTAAATTATTTATCTATAAAATTAATCTTTCTAAACAGATTTCCACTGCCCTTTAATTTGAAAACTAAACTTCTGAGTCTCCACTTGAGCAACTTCATATCTGAAGAGCCTCCATCTGTAAAAACATTTCTAATGAAAACATGAAGACAACCCCCAGAGAAGCAAATAGAATGAGATGTAAGCATATAGCAGCCTTTCTATAGTTACATTCCTAACAAGAGTGGATTCGAACTTGATGCCAAATTAAGGTTACAGAATACAATCAGTGAACACTCTAGTTCTTTCGGTGTTCGTGAAAAATGCAGGTGCTTATACAATTCTGTCTGAATTTCCCACGTGCACAAAGATAGATGAGTTACATCTTGGTTTCCCTGAGTCACGGAAGCCAAGGGAAGAGGGGAGGAAGAAGCAAGCATAAGAATTGCTCCAGAGCAGGTAGCAGAAGAGGGAAAGCTGGAAAGTCTGGGCTCCAGGGACTGTGTTATAGTTGCCCAAACCCAAGTATCAAAGATGGGTTTACATTTTCACGTCGCACCCTATGAACAATCCAGATAAAGTCAAGCAGACTTTATCCAGCGCTCCCGCACAAAGCACTTCATTGCTTGGTAAGACCACCAACCAACAGTAAGACTACAAAGCCTACTTTCGGCAACTTGAAATCCATTGTGAAAAATTCTCTATCCAGTTTATGTCCACGGTCTGGACTGTCTGCTCAATGGAGCATCGTTTGTTGTGGGGTTTTTCTGGTCTTGGTTTTTGCTGTTCGACAACAAGACCTTAATTTTATAAAACACGGGTGTGTTACAGCAAGTTTCAAGGATCCTGCAATTCACCGTTAGAAGTCAGAGTGAAAAAGTAGCCATTAATTTTCAGTAACACTGGATTTTGTTAACAAAGTACAACATTTAATGAAGCGTCTGATCCATTCCCACTGTCAGGGAATGAGAAGATAGGATCTTCCAGAATGGCCTGACAGGCCACTCATGTAGGAAGCAAGCTTTTTTTTAAATTGTGGCAAAATACATGTACATGAAATTGTCACCATTTTTAAGTGCATAATTCACTGGCATTAAATATATTCACAGGGCTGTGCAACCATTTCCACTATCCCTGATCCAGAACTTTTTCATCATCCTGAACAAATTCTGTCCCCACTCAGCACTCATTCTCACTCCCCGCCCCAAACCCTGGTAATTTGTACTCATTCTTTCTCCAAGCATTTGAAGCACAATTTTTATTTTATTTTTTATTTACTTATCTATCAGAGAGAGAAAGAGGAAAGAGCATGGAGGGTAAGAGTAGAGAGAGAAGCAGGCTTCCTGCTGAGCAAGGAGCCTGATGTGGGGCTCGATCCTAGAAACCCGGGATCATGATCTGAGCCGAAGGCAGACGCTTAACCGACTGAGCCACCCAGGCGTCCCAGGGCACAATTTTTTAAAAGCATGACAGTGCAACAAAGAAGTCGACTGCAGCAGGACCTGGGTGTTAAGGTCGGGAGAGCCTGTTTTCTTTAGCATCTCCATCGTAGCTAACTTTTTATGGCTTTTGACTGGGAGACCATACACAATCTTTTCTTATTTCTTTATGGATACAACAACTATTGAGTGCCTGCATGTGGCAGGCGCTATTTTAGTCCTGGCATGTGGCAGAAAGTTAGCTGGACCTGTTCTCCGTCCTCCCTGACCTTACTCTGTGGTTAACCCCGCTTCTCATTATTGCCAACCTTGGCAGAACATGGGGACGGTGTGCAATTCTGGTAAGATGCCAGGGGCCTTGTACCAGTAAGCATCGCCAGCACCACGGGAATGCTCAGAGATGTTACAGCAGAACATTTTTCACCTTTCACTATTAGTGCTCATCCCTCCTTTGGTAGGTAATTGATAGGAAGAGTGGAGCTATCTTCTTACTAGACCGACACACGTTAACACCGTTATTTTGGCCTTCTGCATCTCTCTATCCCTTCATTCAACATGTGATAAAACGTTGTCTACCATAGGAACTGCTTATAGAAAATTACTTCAGATTTTCTCTTATTTCTGGTTTTAAATAGAGACTTTGGGATTTCATTTATATGAAATGTCCAGTATCGCCAAAGCCACAGAGATAGAAAGTAGGTTAGTGGTCGCCAGGGGCTGGGCAGAGGGGAGAATGGGGAGTGACTTGCTAATCCCTATGGGATTTCCTCTGGGGATGATGAAAATGTTCTAGAATCAATAGTGATGATGGCTGTATGACCGTGAGAATATACTAAAAATCCCTGAATTGTATCCTTTAAAAAGGTGAGTTTTACGGTTGCGAATTGTATCAATAAAAAGAATCAAGTCAGCTATTCCGTGAAGGTGGACACAGTGGTAGCCAGAGGCCAGATTTTACAATTCTACACGTGGCTAGCAGAGGTCCATTCTTCAGACTGGAAGAACAGGCAGTATGTTCTGGGAACTGAGAACTGGCATTCAGGCTGGGCAGCATCTGGACAGAGCAGCGAGTGGGCAAGAAAGTCACGTGGTCAGACTAGACTGTTCTCTTCCCCGGATGTTTGTGCGGGGCTCCAGTATGTCCTTAAATCAGACTCAGACTACCCCGTCGGCAAACAGGAACCCAGGTCTGCTCGAAATTCCTGGGCTGCAGCGGTGAAGGCACTCGCCAGGTTTCCTGACGGGGCACCACCTTGACCTGGTCGACCTGCTACACCCTTCGCACGCAGCAGGCACCAGCCTCAGACGTGCAGACTCGGCTTCCTCCGTGTCAAGGAGGCATAGACATCTTAGAGGTAAACTTTACTTCACCTGAAAATACCCGGCGAAAGGTCTGCCGTTAGGTGTAGGAACGAGGAAGCCACCTCACTGAGCGGCGCCCCCCCTTCATTCACCTACTGCGCGGACGCTCAACTTTCCGACCCCGAGAGGGCACTTCTCATTCGCACGAGATGGCCGTTGCCGAAGGACCACAGAAAGGTGGTAAAATTTCACAGGTTCCCAATTTTCAGACCTATGAAGGTAACGGGCAACGTATGCCCCTCACAACCCAAACCACAAAGCGACGCGGGGCGCCGGTCACCGGCCTGCCCCGTGGAGAAGCATACGTAACCGACCGCTCAGGAGCTCACTGTGGCAAAGGATTCGGACTTTTACTGGTGAAGTTCCAGAGCCAGAAGACGGCCTTACATAAGGCGAAGTGAACCACACACCCGATGGAAAAGGTCCTTTCTGTTTCTCTAAATCTGAGGCCCCCTCTAGTGTTGGAAGAGAGTCACGCGCAGCATGCAAAGCAAGCGAAGACACAGTGCACCCTATTTCCCCAGGGGCCTCGCCAAACGAAAATACCTCCGGTCCATGCGTGTGGCAGGAGAATCAATGAGAGAAGTGTCTAACCATAATTAATATTTCACATTCCTGCTGTGATTCACAGAGTTGTTAGCCTCTCGTGCAGGACTTTCCTTCTCTGTCATTTACTGCTGGGTTGTTTTTAGAAGATTAACACTTCGCTATTAAGGAAACAAAACAAAACATAGAATGCGCGCAGGGGCTTTATTTACTTTCCCAAAAAAATACACCTCCTTGAAAACAACAGAAAATTATTTTCATGTTTCCAAACTGCCTATTCTGCTTTTAGGGAAGTTCTCGGTAAACACTATATATTTCCTAAAATATCCTTAAATTTATTATATTTGGGAATCAGAAATTTTAAACTACCTATACCTTAAGACTCACCTAATCTGTGAATTTGCTAACAAACTCTGGAGAAGGAGGTGGGAAGTGTTGCCCTCAGGGCAAACGCTGGCTATGAAGAAGACGATGTACAGGAATTCTCAGAAGTTCGCAGGGAAGGGCACTACATAAATCCAATGACTTCATCTCAAATACTTTAAAAACCAACTGATTAAAATTAGGGGGAGTTAAAAAATAGTCGTTTTTCACTCTTCTTTCTCAGCAGAAGCCTTTGTGTCTTTCTGCCTGTTACATTACAGAGGTTTTGGGTTAAGAACAAGCATTACTGTTAAGGGGAAAATAAAAAAATCCTTCTTTTTCAAGAAAACAATACAATCTTGGGCACGAGTGGGCAGGCGAACACCTCTTTAAACTTGCGACTTTCATCTTCCTGAAAGTTAGGAGCACAGTGAAAATTTGGAAGTTCAGTGGGTGTTGAAACAAGTTTATTCTGTGTTAACTTTATTTAAATAAATGCCCAGTTTGTCATTCGGGAGAGCCTAGCGCTTCTTTGCATTGATCTTGCTTTCTGTTTTCAAACTTGTCACTTGGAAATGTTACAAGTTAAAAGCACAAGCTGTCTAAAGTAAGTTAAATAAAACTGTTTACAGTTGGCCTCAACTTTCGAGATAGCTGTATTCAAATGAATAGGACGCAGCATTTTTAAAGTGCAACACATACTCTTTTGGCTCAACATGAAAAATTATACAACTGGAAATTACTGCAGTCATTTCTCTAAGGGCACATCTCGTGAAAAGCTGTTGTGAAAGTTAGCTATGAAATTATAAATTATGAGAAACACTGAAAAGTCATTTAAAATGAGTATATAAAATGCAATTACAAATAAAACCAGAGTGGGAGAGGTAGCATAAAGTAAATAAAATCAAATAAATACTGTACAGTAACATACAAAATTTTGCTTATAAAAAATTGAAAACTGGTTTTAAAACATCCATTTTCCCTTCTTTCGAGGGGTTTACAATGAAATTAAAATTTAGGCCTGGAGTCTCTGTAAAGATTTTCCAAATGTTATTAATTACTGGCATTGTTTTTTGCCAAAACCTCTCTGATCTGTCGGTCTAGTTCACTTATTATTCGATCCTCGTGATTATACACACCCGTCCTCATCAAAGTATCCCTTTCTTCTATGAGTCGAGTCAAATAATCATCCAAACCTTCCAGGGTATTGCCACGTGGGCTGTCCATTTTTCCACTCGCAATCTCTCTGGAATCCTGGTACTGTTTCTGTTCTTGTTGCCTTAACCTGAGAAGTCAAGAACAAATGCCACTCTAAGCAGGCAACAAGTGCTGTTTTGGTTTTTGATTTTTTTTAGTTAACAAAACACCGTTTCAAAAAATGATTTAATGGGAAATTATGTCTGTAGCATTATTTTCAGGAAGATAACAAAAACCAGTATTCTGCTTGGCTAGCCAGAGTCCTCATGCTCATAAAAGACAGTTTTGAAAACAATACTTGTTTTTCTAATTATAAAATAGACACAAACTGTAGCAGTTCTAGAAATACACACACACAAAATTGTGATGATCTTATCCAGAGATAACCAATCTAAATAATAATTTTCTGTATTTCTTTTCAACTAAAAATGTGTATGTACCTTAAATATTTTTCTAAAAAATTCATCAATTTTTTAGTATAGAGGCAAGGCTGTATACTACTTTTTTCCCACTTATAAAATGTTTTCCTACATCTTTCAGTGTCTTCTAAAGGGCTTCACCACATTCCTTCACTTGGAGGTACCCTTCTTTAACCACCCTTTATTGCTGGTCTTTAGGTTGTTGATAAATCTTTGTTTTTGTTGTTTTGAATAAAATTTCCTTAAGTCATTCAACAAATATCTGTATGTACCCAACGGTGCTAGGTGTTGGGGATACTGCAGTGACTCAAGAGGAAAACTCTTTACTATTACAGAGCTTTTATCACCAAGTGTTCGTAGAAAGTGACATTGTTTCCATGTGAATGCCTGGTTCAGACGGCATGTACCTTTTAAGATTTTGTATGTTTGTGACGCCTCATCTAGGAGTCAGAGAAGGGACAGCAGGTATCAGACTGGGACCTGGGTGTTTCCAGTGGAATACTGTTAATCACGTGGCCTTGCGAATGTTAAGTATACTTACTATACTTTCCCCCAGTGATTGTAACACCAACTTTGGACAGCAGAGTATGTTTTAATTGGGTATGTACAATTAAGAGATAACTTCATACTCCTTTATGCAAGTGGCTACAAAAATGTTTTAATTTGCAACTACTCCTAAATTTTATCTTTATAAATGGGAAGGGTGAAGCAGTTGAGTCTAAGCCCCTGCTTCTGAATGGTCTTCAGGATAAGTATGCCCATGAGGACCAAATCCACTTCTGAATTTATGCAGAGTGGGGAAGAGGCAGAAGAGCCAGTGAGGAGAGTCCTGCACTCACAGACAGGGAGGACTTGGCCCCAGAAAGGGTGTAGGACTGTTGATGGTATGTATATACTTTGGTTTGTTCATATGATCCCTTAAGATTCCCCACAAAAGAACATGAAACTGAACTATCCAGTCCAAGATGGACATCAAACATCTCCATCTGTTCTAAGAGAAAAAAACCTAAGTAGTCAAAGCACTGTGCTTTGGGACTCGGGTGGCAATCAAGTGGTTAATGGGACAGGGGTACAAATTAGAGCAATCCCTGTGGATGTTCCCTCTACTTTAATTCTTAGAGCTTTCTTGGACAAAGAGGTCCTGTATGCAAACTAGTAACATACAACCTCAAACTATGTATGAGAAAGCCCAGCCATTTTCTTGTTCATCTGTTGATGCATGAAGGATACACAGAATTTTTACACCAGTGATAGACGGTTCCTACTGCATCTTTACTAAAATGCAAATCACCAATCAGGCTCACAGTAGAATTTTAGAACCTTGTAGCTGAAGAAACCCACAAAGTTAACAAGGGAAACTTGACAGCCCTGACTGACACTATGTCTGGACTTCACCTGCACACTCTTGTCACTAGGAACCTGCGACTTTGTGGAAGTGTTCTGTAGAACGTTCCTTCTTATACTGAGCTTGGTATGTCGCCTTATCCTTTCCATCCGCTGGCTACGATTCTGTTCAAGAGGGGCACCTACTTCTCTTTAACTTGGGAGCCCTCCAGATACCTGAAGACAGCTATCTAATGCTTTGTCCTAGAGTTCTCACGTTCAACTTCCCTCTCTCCTGACCACCTTTTTGGTCACATTCCCCTGGAAGCTCTCTAGGAAGCTGACTGACCTGAAAACGTGTTGCACATCAGTACGAACACCCAGGAGTGGTGGAACCAATGCGGAGTTGTGAACACTTCTACCAATGGCCCTGTGAGAGCCACGTCACACTGTTGCTAGCGGCCCTGTGTGTCCTCCCAGCCTTCCTCACATCAACGGTCTGCTCCTGTCTTTCCCATCACTTATGAGGTCTGCCTTATAATTCATACAGGGGACTCTTGGTTCTAATGTACTCAGTGGTTTAAGTCCTTGCTAAATCTAATTTATTAAGATATTAACGCTAAGACTCAATTTTGCACAATCTGCAAATCTGATAGCCAAATGGCTATCTGCATTTAAGCCACGAAAACCGTGCTTAGCAAACAGCAGAAGCTTAATACCTATATACTAAACTAAACTAAAACCACAAAAAAGAAAAAAATACTGTATGTCTATGACAGCAAAATTTTAGAAGGCAAGGGTCATGTTATTTATAACATCTTCCATGTCTATAACACAGTGGTAGGTTCTCCTACTGGAACTCCCATTTCTGTATGGGGGAGAAAAAGGGAATTTTTTGGTTATTATACCTGTTTAATTCATTTCTGATATCCAACAATTCTTGTCTCTCGGTCTTCACCATATCTTTTTCCTCAGCAGCCAGGTAACGGAGCCTCATCTGTTCCAGTTCTTCTTGCTGTTTTTTAAGTCGAGCCATTTGACTTTCTTGCTCCCGCTGGAAAGAAAGAAACAAGCCAGAACTCGAATGTGAGGAGTAAATATATTTTGTACAACCTTGACTTGTGATCATAATCCCGCTAGACAGGACCCATGACACAGCCCTGCGCTCTCATTCCGAGACGCACACTGTCTGGAAAGGGCCAGGTTCTCTCGAACAGTCCTGTCTTCTTGCGGCCAGCCACAGCCGTCCAGGGCACAGTCCGTGACTGAAGTTAGCGAAAGACCGTAAGAGAATCCGAGGTGCAGGCAGGAAGAGTCTGCTGGCAACACAATGAGTTGCCACAAGGACCAGTGGCAAAAGCATCTAAGAAACGGTTAATTATACAAAGATACACCGCGAAAAACCGAATGAACGGTCTCTGCACTGGTCACTAATTCCTTGTCCACCTCAGGTCATCATACACCTTTCTACTCTTTACATTCACACAAGAACCTGCACATAGGACAAACTGTCTTTAAAATAAATGTGCAACCGTCCCCAGAGTGGATATCCACGATTGAGTCAACCCCTCTCTCAGTCACGGATGCGTCTGGACCAAAGGTGGGGCTGCAAACACCCCATCATCGAACAGAGTCAGCTCGTGGTTCTTTGCGCAGATTTCTGTAGGGACAGGTGCTCTGCTTTCGTTAGGACCGAAGCCCCAAAGGGGACAGCTCTATCAGTAGGTATATGTCATCCTCTGTTTTTCAACATAAACTTTTGAATAACGGTAAACAGAGTTCTTACACATGATAAGTGTACAGAGTGGTAAGATTTTACAGAGCAAACTACTCCATGCAGATCATGAAACAGAAGCCCCCTGTGCTTCCTCCGACCCACTAACCACCCCTCCTTTCCTCAAGATAACTACTGCCTAATTTTTTACGCCACAAATAAGACGTGACTGCTTGAACTTCACAGAAATGGAATTCTAGGTATTACTTCACGTGTGGCTTCTTTAAGTTAACATTGTTTTGCAGATTGATTTGTATTCAGTAGAGCTGATGATTGCCGTTACTACATAGTATTACACTGGATGAACATACAATCTTTTCATTCTGCTGCGGAGGGAACTCGGGGTTAGTTTGAAGTTGTGTTCTCTAACGCTGATGTAAATATTACTGTACATGTCTACGGGCTCATGTTTGTATGCCTTTCTATTGGGTATATACCTAGGATTCAAACAGAAGGGCCATACGGTAGGAGAAATTCAGTATTAATAAGCATTATACTTCCCTCTGAGCATTCCAGTGCTCCATATTCTTACCAGTACTTGGTAATATAATTCTTTCTGCATTTAAACCATTTTGATAGGTTTATGTGGCGGTATCTCGCTGTAAATTTATTTTGCATTTTTTTCCCAAGACTAATGAGGTTGAACACGGTTTAGTATTTAAACGGCATTCTTCTTTTGTAAAGTTCCTGTTCAACCATGTGGCACTTTGCTCTACTTGGTTATGCGTTTTTCCTTACTGATATATTTACTATGTACCTTATATAGACAGGGATAAGTCTTTTGTTGGCTATTTAAATTGCAAATATTTTCCACTAGTTTTGTCTTGCCTTTTCATTTCTGTAACAGTGTTTCTTACTTAACTTTAACATAGTCCAAATTTATTCTTTTCTAGCTAGTGCCTTCTATGTCCAATTTAAGGAATTTTTTGCCTGCCTCAGTCTTGAAGAGACTCTTGTATGAAGATGCTCTTTTATATCATCTTGAAGCTTCATTTAGATCAATAATTCATATGCAATGGGTTTTTTTTTTTTTAGCTCAGGATGTGACTTTATTTGGAAATAAGATCATTGCAGATATAATTAACTTAAGAGGAAGATATACTGGAATAAGATGGCCTCTTAATCCAATATGCCTGGTATTCTTATAAGAAATGAGACATATGCAATGGGTTTTGAGTATGTGTGAGATCGTTTCTTTTTTCCCCCCTATAGAGCTTCAACTGACATGGCAACATTTACTAAAAAAATATCCTCTCCTACTGCTTGGCAGTAACACCACCCAGGACTCTCTAACCTGATCTATTTCTCTACCTTTGCATTAAATCATACTGCCTTAATACTGTAACTTTTAAAATAATCGATCTTGATAAGTGATAGTCTATTTTCATATAAATCTGTTTCTATGGCTGGGAAAAAAAGGCCCCTGGGATTTATGATTATGCCTAATCTTCAGATCACCTTGACCAAAACCATTATCTTTACAATACTGATTCTGTCATCAGTGACCACTGTTTACTTCTTCAATTATGTAGGTCTTACTGAATTTCACTGAATGTTTTATACTTTTCTATATACTAAGGGTAACAATTTTCTTAGAATATGCTCCGAAGTATTTCTTCTTTTGAGATGTTATTGTAAATGGCAGAGTTTTTAAATTCTCGTTTTCTAATTGGCTCTAGTACAGAGAATTAACATTGACATTTGGTTTCCAGCAAACTTGCTAAACTCACTAATTCTAGATCTTCTGTAGATACTTTTTGGTTTTCTAAGTGTGTCATCTACAAATAATAGCAGTTTTATTTTCTCCTTTCCAACTAATAAACCCTTTTGATTTTTTTCTCCTTTGTTTTCTTAAGGTGGTAAACCACCATGTTTGCTTTTGTTTAATAAACCCTGTTGTGATTGTTGTTAAGTGGTTTATCAATGTTCCTGGGACTGTCCAATATATTTTGTTCTTGTAATGTCCTTGTCAGATTTGGGAATCAAGATTATGCTAGTCTCATTTAGAAAAGAAGAGTGTTCAGTCTTCCTACTTTCTGAAACAGTTTGTCTACAATTAGTGGTATTTCTAAAATTTTTACTAAAATTCAAATGTGTAGCCATCTAGGCCTAGAGCCTTTAGATGAAAGTTTTTCATTACAGATTCAATTTCCTTAACAGCTATCCAATGAATATTTTCTATTTCTTCTTGTGTCAGTTTTGTAAGTTCTGTTTCTCAAGTTTACAGAAAATTTTTATTACCATTCTCTTATCTCTTTCAATGACTATGAGATCAATAGCCCTGTGTCCCCATTTTATTCTTGATGTTGGAAGTTAGGGCATATTCTTTTTGTCCTTGAACACTGCCATGAAGGACATCTTTTCAAGAAAGAACGTTTTGCTTTGTTGATTTTGTTGTATACTTTCCCATTTCCTTAATTTTTATTCATCCCTTTCTTCTAACTGCCTTAATTTCTTATTCTTACTGACCATCTGAAAGGAATAAAGAATAATTTTTTTGCTTTTATTTTTTAAGTGCCCTCAAGGTTATAAAATTTCCCGCTAAGCACAGTTTGCATTAAATCTCCTGTCTTGATATGCTGTATTACTTTTTGGTTCAAAACATTTTCTAATTTCACTTGTGGTTTTCAGTGTAGCTATGGGTAATCAGAAGTGAAGTACTTAATTTTCAATCATTTGGGGATATGAGCTTTTCGTTATTAATTTTTAGATTAATCTCACTGTGGACAGAAGATACTCTCAATTACAACCTTATGAAATTTGTTGAGAATAGTGTGATCTTGCATGTGAGCAATGTGGCTAAATGTTCCATGTGTACTAGAATATGTGTATTTTAGATAGCTTATAAAATATTCTATATATACCAATGGTTGTGTTGTTTAAATCTTCTAAATCGTTACTGCTTTTCTTGTTTGCTCTATCACTTCCTTGGAGAGTTATGGTAAAATGTACCGTTATTGTCTATTTTTCCTTTAATACTAAAGTTTATTGAGCAATAGAAAGCTTCAGAAGAGAGAGGGGGGACCCGAGAGGGTTGCCTCCTTTTAGTTCTCTTGATTTTTTTGCTTCATATAAATTTGTGGCTGTTGCCAAGTGCATACACAGGTAGAACTGTTGTCATCTTCCAGGTGAATTGACCCTTTTATGATGATGAACACTATCTACAGGTGTTGCCCTGAAGTCTACTTTGCCTGACAAAAGTAGTGCTAGATTGGCTTTCTTGTGATTAGTATTAATGTGGTACATACTTTTCCCTCTTTCAAATTTATCCATTCTGTACCCTTACCTTTAAGCTGTGTCCTTTCTAAGTAGCATACTGCTGTTGTTTTTAGTTTTTCATGTAATATTTGTCTCTACTAACAGTATTTGGTCCATTTTATTTAAAGCAATTGGTCATATAACTGGTTTAAATCTTTACATGTTAGGACGCTGTACTTGTTCCATCTTTTTGATGTTATTCTCTCCTCTGGTCTTTTTTAGATTAATCCTTTGTCTTTTCACCCATGCCCCCGCTGCCTCCCCTTTTCAGCTTCTTATTATTTCTTAAAAAAGAGTAAAAATGACTAATACAGATCAGGACTTTGACAACTTCACAAATAATGGAACATACTTTAAACATTTTAACTCTATTTGTTCCTCCATCTCTCTTCTACTTTGTCCTTCTAGGTTTTTGTCATGAATTTTAATTCTACATATATCAAACTCAACAAATGCTGTGAGCGTTGTTTTCTACAATCAATATGTAGTCAGATATTTATTTCCATTGCTGTTTATTCTCCTGTTTTTGTCTGGGATTATTTTCCTTCTGCCTGAAGAACACCTTATATTTTTACTCTAGGTTTGCCATGACAAAGTCTCCCAATTTTTGTTAGTCTGCAAAGTCTTATATGTCACTGTTACTTACGAAGAACATTTTCACTGCATACAGAACTTGAGGTTGGCAGTTATTTTCTTTCAGTACTTCACGGATGTTACTCTATTATCTTATGAATTCCTTCGCTGCTGTTGTAAAGTCATCTGTCTGGATTGTTGCTCCCATGAAGGCCATGTCTTCCTGTACCTCCATCCCTTACGGTTTTCATTGCTTTTTTGTCAATTTTACTATTATGAATCTAGGTATGTTTTACTTTGTATTTATTCTGTTTAGAGTTCATAAATATTCTTCAATCTGTAAATTGATACCTTTTGCACTTTCAGAGAATTCTCACCTAGTTCAAATACGGCTTTCTCTTCCATTCTGTCGTCTTCTGAAGGCTTGCCAGAGGCTTAGTATTTGTGTC